CCCCCCCCCCCCCCAATTATCGTTCTGGCTACGGCACTGTTTTAAAACGTAGAAAAAACTATCCTAACGCAAAACTAAACCCTAACCCTAATAGTAACCCTCATCCTAACCCCAACCTAACCCTATAACCTAAACCCTAACCCTAACTTATTTTAAAAATTGATATAAAAACGCAAACCTTATTTTGAAGTATACTATCTAGCAATTACCGTTATGTAGCTTGTCAGATGAATTCAATAGAAAATGGCGTTATGCTTGATTTAAATTTGAAAGGTTATACTTTTTTATACACACTGTATAACCTCAGCGAGTTAACGCTCTATAGAGCGTCTTGTTATTCAAAAGTAGTATGCCTTCGCGCACAGGCTTTCGCTCTTGTAGTGCACTTTGTTTTGCGGCGCATGCTTCAAGGCACTGCACTGTACCATGCTGGGGTGTAGGAGCTTTATAAATGAAAATTTGGAGTCTCTAGATCTTCGGAGATGGCATTCTCAGAGTCTACGTCTTTCGCTAAGTCCTTTCATTAATTCTTTCATTATGATTCTTGTGAGTCCGTGCTATAAGCCTGGTTCACATATGTCTGCGATATGCCTGCGACGTCATTGTTTACAGCTGTTGATGCATACATTCTTTTGTGAATTATTTGGTTGAACTGCTAAAGACAATAGCCCGCCGACACATCGCAGACATATGTGAACCAGGCTATACAGGTGCAGAGATACAGGTGTATGGACTATTATTATCAATTGGCCAATCAGTACACTTTTTAAAAAATCCAATATGATATGCGAATGTGATTTATATATTGCTTGGGTAGTCTAGATGAGGCTGATATGGAAACTTTTTTATAATGTCTAGACCTGGGCATTTCTAGACCTGGCCAGTTACAACTGTCTAACTTTATACTCGTTCTAAGAAGGAATTTGGCCAACCAAATCTCCTAAATGTCCTAAGAAATCCTTCACTGAAACTATACAACATTCCTGTTTTTAAGGAAAATTCCTGGTCTGACATTCACTCACCTTTTTAAAATGATATGAATTTTAGAGTATCTGCCGTATCGTCGAAATGACATGACGTCGATGCGAGACGAGAAACGTCATCCATGGATGTGTTCTCATGGATATGTGATGATTCGTGTGGATATGCGTGGTTCGGGAGACTCGGATGGGTTATGCTATGGTGAATATGAACCACAGGAACAGGATGACTGTATTGAAGTTATTGATTGGATTAGGAAACAGCCTTGGTCTTCTGGCAATGTTGGTAAGATTTGAAGAATAGGCAGTCAGTCAGCTTGAGGGCCTGACTTGGGCTTGAACAGTGAACACATATATAGTCTGTATAGCTTCATTGAGGAATTACTTTGTAGTATTAATATTATTCGATGATCAGTTAACTGACTTCATGTAAATTATTTCAAATTATCTTGATTTCGACTTTTAACGACAGAACATTATACAACATTTTAGAGATGAGCCGATATAAAAAAGCAAGCGGCCATAGGCGTACGAGACAGGGGAAAACCATGGAAATTCGGGCAAATCCTAGAAAAAATCAAGAAAATTCGGGCAGATTTATCCGCAGAAAATAGGTTAAATTCAGGTAATTTCTTTACAATCCTCCGCAAAAATTCGGGCAAACTTTCAACTCCCTCCCCCCCTGGAAAGCATCAGCCCCGTACGCCTATGACCAAGCCTGTTTCCGATATCGATTGTTGAGGAGCCAGTACATACAGTACCAACCATCGGCCGATTGATCGGCAAAACTGATGATCATTTTGTCAGACGCTAAAGTTTTGTGGCGTTCTCGTCTTTGTCTAAATACTCACTTGTTTCGCAATGAAAGAATCACGTTTTTCTATTTTAACCACAACAGATCTATAGAATAGAATAGAATAGGATAGGATAGGACAGGATAGGATAGGATAGGATAGGATAGAATAGAATAGAATAGAAACTTTATTTCACGAGGGAAAACGTATTAACCATAAAAGTTATCTAACATACGGCCCTCACACTATTTTGATATTTACAGGCATAAAAAGTATTAAAGATTACTACTATTTACATATGAGAAAAAAAAATTAGTAATGAATACAATTACAATTTAGTAAATATTTACAATATATACAAAATAGGTCTTCGATATGGTTAGTAAGGTGAAAATTGACATGCACGAAAGCAGTGTTTTCTGTGTTTGCTCTTTTTTTACGCATGTCTGAAAAACTGAAATTTTTATTCTTTTCTTGAAAAGATATGCAATTTGAGGAAAACTTAAAATGCTTTTACTATAACGTGACCATATGTGTAATATACAATGTCAATGAATGTGAGACAACAATAGTCAATACACAATATACTTTTAGAATTATGAAATTATTCTGCATTATCACGGTCAATCTTAATCCAATAATTATGAATTATTCTCCTTATATTAGGCATGTATGGCAAGAGCTGGGGTGGTTTCAATGGACTTCAGATAGCATCGAGGAATCCCGAGGGTTTAAAAGGGATCATATCTATATACTCGACAGATGATAGATACGATGATAACTCGCACTATAAAGGAGGATGTATCACTCCTGCTCAGATGTTGTCCTGGTCGAGTCATATGCTCACATTTACCTTGTCCCCTCCCGACCCACAATTTGTTGGTGTCAAGTGAGTTTTCAATTGTGGAGATATGTGACTATATGTCCATATTACGATTCCTGAATGATATTGACAAGGATTAAGTTTGGCTTAGGGTCATCGTTTACAGCTATAGATGATTCCAGTCTTCCAGCTATTGACTAAATTTTGATATAGGCAAGAAGAACAAAATCCATCACCACAGCTAGAAATAGCATGTTAAAATTAGTAAAGTTGCAAAGGTTGGCTGCGAAATATTGTAAAATGCGGAAAATATAGCCCTGCGAAATTTGCAAATTTTGTATAGGGCCGAAAGTGGTGCATTTTCCCACGCGTAATACAAATTAACACAAAATCAAATTTCGTAGGGCTATATTTTCCTCATTTAACAACATTTCGCGGCCAAACTTTGCAATTTTACTAATTTTAACATGCTCTTTCTAGCTGTGCTGATGGATTCTGTTCTTCTTGCCTCATGGATCAAAATTTAATCTATCGCTGCAATCATCTATTGTGGTGGCAATGCCGATGAAAGTATTCTTATAGAGTATTCCACCAATTCAGTTCCTCACACAATCAAATTAAGTTGATGAGTTCCTTGAAAACGTGATGACTCCCGAATTTTTTAGGAACATTTCTTTTGCCACGACTGTGAAATTTTACTTACATAAGCACGAAACTCGCTTAAGCATTGTCTGTCAATTCATTCATCGAATGATTCTTCCCTCTCTAGATGGAAAGATATGTGGTTGAAACGTTTAAAGCAAGCTGGAGAGCCCTGGGTGAACACATGGACCTCACATCAAACTAGAGACGAGTTTTGGAAACACGCTTCCATTTGTGAAGACTACTCCAAGGTAATGGAAGCTATAGGCAGCTGCGTATTGAGATACAGAAACATTGCAGTTCTTTTTATATTTTTCAGGAGACTTATAAAGTTTATCCAAAGTCAGGAGACTTATAAAGTTTAATTAAAGGACATTGGCAATAAAAATTAAAAATAGGTTGTCTCATTCAGAAGAACTCTTAAAATTATATATTAAACTCTATTACCGATTTGGCAAATCTTGCTTTAGTTCTCGAAATATTTAGACCGAAATTAATGAGCCGTCCGGCCATCTTGGACTAATTATTGACCTCATTAACTATGGTTTTGATGACGATAAAACTACTCTCTATCATATAAAACTACTACAGAAATAACTCTAAAATGACCGAGTATAACATTCCAAAATTTGCTGTGTTGGTGTAATGTACTCAGGTGAATAAGATGTTTGTGTGATGTTACTCTGAGTGTATATCCACACCGGGCAGGCTTCAGTGAAAAATATGCCTGGCCACGGTGGGATTCGAACCTACGACCTTTGGATACTAGCCCAATGCTCTGCCAACTGAGCTACGCGGTCAGGTCGGTTCGTGTATGCGATATTTCGGAACTGAGTCTAGTTCCTTCGATATCAGTGTAATCTAATAATTATGGAATCTGCTGTGTTGGTGTAATGTACTCAAGTGAATAAGATGTTTGTGTGATGTTACTCTGAGTGTATATCCACACCGGGCAGGCTTGAAAAATATGCCTGGCCACGGTGGGATTCGATCCTACGACCTTTGGATAACAGCCCAATGCTCTGCCAACTGAGCTACGCGGTCAGGTCGGTTCGTGTATGCGATAATGGGCTAGTATCCAAAGGTCGTAGGATCGAATCCCACCGTGGCCAGGCATATTTTTCAAGCCTGCCCGGTGTGGATATACACTCAGAGTAACATCACACAAACATTCCAAAATTGTTTGAAATGTTTGGCCTAAGTGCCCTTACTAAATTTTACTTCCCTTAAATTCTACTTTCTTTTCAGATAAAATGTGGTGTGTTCCTTATTGGTGGCTGGCTTGACGGGTATCACAACGCGGTGTTTCGTATGGCTGAAAACTTGACATGTGATTGGAAAGCTATGGTTGGTCCTTGGCCACATGATTGGCCAGACGACTGTGTTCCAGGCCCCAACATAGCATATCTGCCGGAGTGTTTAAGGTTCTGGGATTATCATCTGAAAGGAATTAAAAATGGTCTCGATAAAGAACCAAGGCTTCGCTTATACCTTGAAGAAAGTAAGTGAATTATTGAGAGGCAATTTTTTAGACACGTTCAGAAGTCTTAAAGCAACAATCCCCTTTTAAATGGACACATGGTCTCAATGTTGATTATTAGACGACTGCCTAACTTTCTGAAAGTTACACCAAGTTCTTCTAAATGAATTTGGAAACAAAAATTCAAGGCCGTGAAAATCTTTGAGTTTATAAAGAAGTGCTTGAATGTCCTTAAATTGTTCTTGCTTTAGTGGATATTTTCTGAAATTGTTTGACATTAAGAATTGCACATAATGATTTTGGAAATTGATTTTGTTCATGTCTCACAAAGGCCAAAACTGTTTGAAATTCATTAAAATTGCCGTTTGAACAGTTTAACGTCACTTTTTACTGATTTCTAACACATTTTATTTTCAGTCCTTTAGTCTTTGAATTTCCTGATATAGTCCTTGAATTTAACTCTTCCTGACCCTTATGAACCCTGTTACATCCTGATGGCATTTTCTGTTACAAGCTGCCTGCAACTGCCATTTTCTTAGAGTATATATCCATTACTTTAATGCTTTAATGCTTTAATGAAATACTCCTAAAACAGTATTATACTACACTAGGAGGAGTTATATATACTGAAAAACTAGATAATATTTATTT